TTTTTTCATGAAAAAAGTGTGCCTTTGCACAAAAAAGGTTGAAAAACACTGGACTAGGCCAATAAAACCAGGGTGTACTATATCTTTCAGGTCTTGACAAGTTATTTAGGAAAGGTTTTGAATATATCTTAAGATATGTAACAGATGTTTCATTATGATTGGATAGCTATACATTTTATTTAAAAAGAACCACTTCCTATTTCAGATTTAAAAAAAAACAAATTAAGTTTTTCAAACTCATTCCATTTGTTTGAGTAAAGCTGTCAGCATAATCAACTTTAAAAATGGCTTTTAAATGGAGTTTTTCCTGAAATTATCACTAACATCTGCAGTTTGACATCCTTCACTTACCACGACAGATGCAAAATAACAACCCCAGAACAATTAATGCAAAAGAATGTTGGCAGAATACAGCTTTGTACAAACTTTTCACCGCTAATTGATTTGGTTATAGAAAGAAAACGTTCTCTGTAATCGTTCATATTACTATATACAGTATAATCTAGCCTTTATACATGTACCTTGGCAAAATATTAGACATACTTTCATAAGCTGAAAGGTTTTTCTCCTTTAGTATCTTTCAAGATAAGCTGCAACTTATGTTACATATGGAAATAATGACATGATACATTTTACCGTCCTTCCTATCTGTAAGTTTCTCTGGCATAGTGTCACCAAATTTCCCAGATTTAAAGTTAAGAGTAAGGTATGCAAGATGTTTTCTATTAGATTGTTTATTAATTTCTTTTCCCCCAAATTCTTTTCTTTTCACTAGCTTAAAATCAAATGTTTTCTTGGAGATTTTTAATAGCTGACTCACAAAAATTAAACTGTACAAGTGGAGCTACTTTTCTGGCAGTACCAAGCAAATGTTATTTCAAACAGCAAGTAGCCAATACTTATTCGACTTTTTAAATCCATACTAGATGTTTTCTTATCTTTCAAGCTGCACTTGTGTGATAAAATACAAAAAACTTCCCAAAAATGTTATGCTCAGCTGACAGTCACTAAAACTGTCCATCTTTAATTTAGTGTTCTCTGAATATTGAGCATGGCTACATTGGCTATTAATTTTTCATTAATGGGAAACTAATAATTTGGCAACATAGTTGGATTGATTTTTACTTCAACAGTTTTCTCATTGTACAGCAAATTATAGAAAAGTCCCAATCAGATCAATCTGATCAAGGCTTGCAATTCTATTTTTGATGTAAATTGACAAATTATAGTTCAGACCTAATGGNATCACACTTTGAGTGCTTAGCAATTGGCCCACATTTATGGTCATTTGCAGCATCCCACAGTTAAATGATCGCATTTTATGATGCAGAAGAGATTGCAAAATTGAGTTAGTCACATGGGTCATCCGATTTACAACCATCATGACTTACAATTGGGATGACCAGGCTCTATTATGGTCATAATTCAAGGACTATTAAATTTTTCTTTATAGATTTATATAATTTGGATTTGTTATGTATTGCTTTAGCCTAATGTGGGATCAATATACAAGATTATGTTAAAAACTAATGTCTTACAAATTCCCCAGTCAATTAGACTATCAGCAGTGTTCTTGGAAATACCAAAGAGAGACTGAGAATGTTTTGCTTTCCTTTCTCAAATCAGATCTAACATTGGTAAAAGTAGTTTTTGAACACTGTTGGAATAGATTTTGTTTTTCAGAATTTAGCTTTGTATTTCTGTACTCCACTTTTTAATACATGGCACCCAATCTACCTTTTCCATCGCCAATGAGTAGCTGTTAAGGATATTATATTGTCAACTAAGTTAGCTTATGGGCCAACTTTCTTCACAGTCTGTAAAGAAGTCTGTTCCTTCACTTAAGATTGTCCTCATAGCAGCTCCTTGTAGAATCACTATACCATGAGTTACATTTAGCACACATGATTCTATGAATTTGGTACTATGAATTTGTTGGCTGTTCTCATGAAACTGAAACAATATGGTGATTTTTTTTTCTCCTTCTAGGTATCCCTGCTGTTAAAATCCTTATGCCTGCTTTATCACCTACAATGGAAGAAGGAAATATAGTGAAATGGCTGAAAACAGAAGGTAAGTCTGAGATATTAAAATGCTGTCTTGAACATTGAAATGTTTTATCTTTTCAAGTCTAATCTACTCTTATTTCCTTTTTTTCTTTAAAAAAAATAGATTGTTATTATGCTGCTACTCCCTTATGACTGGTATTTGTTGTGGATTTAGCATGCATAATTTTATCAGTTTTACAGAGTATTGAAGATGTCATTCATTCATATGTTTATTAAATTTGCATTGTCCCATTATAGGTTTGGTTGGATGAATGGTTTAAACAATTTATGATTATGGTATAAATGAAAGTAATTAAATTATGTAAAAGAGAAACTTATTAATTCATTTTCTGTTTATACATAAGCAGTATTCTAAGGAAAACTTGAAAAGTATTTAAGGTCGCCAGCGTAACTAAAATTTCATGGTGTAATTATAGCAATGGTTTGATTATAGCAAATGGAACAAATTTCATTGTTGGATTTACTGAATAGATAAGTACCTCATTATTTCCTTGTCCTCCTTTTCCTTTTTTTCTTCTTCAGATATTTTAGAGTCTCTTCTAAATGAAATGTCTGCAGTGATCTAATACTGATTTTGAAACATTTCCCAGTGATTGTTGTTTACAGTTGCCATTTCAAAGGAACATGATCTACTTACATCATTACCCTTCAATATTCTCTGTATTTTGTTTTTACATAAATATAACAGAGGAAGTAGATGTCAGAATTGTACATTTCATTTAGTGACCTGGCTGTTAACATAATTGTGCAATATTTAAGTCTGATGTGGAAAATTATGAGAAATCAAATGTAGGGCTTAGGCAGGTCAGTTTGCTTTCTTTCAGTAAGACACTTAAATGACCTTTTCCTTTTTTAATAAAATGATTGTACACAATGTCAGTCAAACGACAAAGAATCAAACCTTTGTTAGTACAATTTTCCAGAGAGGAAGTATATTAGATGTTTTAACTCCAGAACCATTTAGGAGCTTATCCAGTTTAGTTCATTTTAAATGGAAAGTGTCTAACCAACTTTTACAGTACCAACTTCATTCTTTAATGAAGAATTCTGAATCAATTAACACAGAAATCAAATGGCATGTTATTGAGTTTAGGAGAAAATGCTAGCTAAATTATTCCATTTTAAAAATAATATCTTATATAGAAATTCCTATTAAGTTCTTGCTTTTAACTTCTGAAAATAAATACATGTTTCTAATAGGATTTTCCCTCTGTTTAGGAACTTCCAAACCAATTTCAGATTACTTCTTAAATTTGTTTTGTATGAATGTATTTAAAAAAAGGAAAAATGGGGCAGTACTGTTTATTTAGAGAGATTTTTAATACTAAAATATCAGATTGCACAAAATTTCTGTGTGCAAGCTCTTTGCAATTTATTACTTAGGATAATTTTGTTTATTCTTAAGTACCTGGCGTCCCTTATTTGACACAAGACAGTAATCTGTGTCTTAAAATTTCAGTCTTTTCTTTCTTTATTCTTAGATAAATTTGGTTTCCTTCTCTTCTTGGGAACATTGGGTTATTTCTTATAGTTGCCCAGGTAGTACTTTTTCCTTTTAATCCTGGATATTGCTATGAAATTCTTTCTGTAAACTTCCTTTGACTCAGTCTCATTCTTGATTTCTGTTGCTGATTTATACAATTCCCATGATTCCTAGTTAGCCTACTGAGAATTGCAGTCTTAACAGGTATGGAAAGAAATACATTGGAGAAGGGTTGATATAGATCAATTAATCTGTTATTCTTGCTATACTAAATTTGTTTTGCAAGCAATTCTAATACAGCTGGTTGTACATCAGCCAATAGTCAGTATCACAGTATCTCACCATTTTTTACATATGGGCACAAACAATAAAGGTAAGGACGCCATATGGATTTTCACTCAGTGCCACAAGCCATATTAATTTCATCCTTAATTTACTTAATCCTTTATTTTGTATTTGTACTGAAATGCATTTTCTTTACCTAAAAACAAATTATTTAATATCTGTTCATTAGTTTTTAACAAAACTCATTGTGTTTTAAGTTAAATGAATTTATTTTTAAATACAAACTAAATCTAATATAAACTATGAATTAAAACCTATGAAATTTATTAAATAGATTGAATTTTATTTTCATTTTACAGGAGAAACGGTGAATGTTGGAGATGCCCTATGTGAAATTGAAACAGATAAAGCAGTGGTCACAATGGAATCAAGTGATGATGGCATATTAGCTAAAATAATGGTAGGAGTAATTTAAGTTACTATAAATTACGGTCCTTAGAATATTATGCCCTTTAGAATATATACTTAAGTTTCAATAAGATTTATTTTTCCTGATTTTAAGTATTTTATTAGAATTTCTTGACCTAGTATTCCAGATTAGGATACAATTCTAATTTGAAACAACAATGATTGGAAGTTATTCTTATTGCAATTTCTACAAATAGGAAGGATGCTAAATTGTAAGATAGGAGAGGAAGGGTACAGAAACAAATGTGCTTGCTATGTGTGTGCTTGCATAAAATTGGTCTTATTTTACCTTTTGTGAAACTACTGAATTATTATTATTCACTTGAATGAATGTTTAGATCTTTCATGACAATTAATTAATTAATTAATTAATTAATTAATTAATTAATTAGATATGGGGACCAGCTCACTCTCAGTGACTCCAGGCAGTTTACAATAATAAAAACCCAGCAATTTTTCCTACTATCTTCTTTTCTATGATATCAATGTTGCTTTTTGAATATTTGCTAATTTAAAGCCATAATTNCGAAGGCTACTTTCTGTTACGTTTTTGGGGCTTTTAACGGATGCCATTCCTACTATAAATAAAGGGAAGCTCTTTTGCAGCAGTGTCGAATTTTTATCGATTGTGTGCCGTGAAGTCATTTTCGTCTCCTAGCGATCGTTTTTGCCGGCCACGCCTTTAAGCAAAAATCAAGTTTACTGCCCGCACCTTAGTCAGACTTGCAGGAAGCCTCCCGTTAGCGGAGCGATCGAATTCTAAAACTCGACCTGGACAGCCAGAGAGCAATTAACCCCTTAGAGGTTATTGCGCGCCATCTCTCCGTCCCTCACCTCTCCTGGGGGAGAATTGAATCGGCGGGTGCCACTGAGTGCACCCCGTTACCTTTGCTTCCTCGAAGGCGTTCCTGTACGGACAAGCGCAGTGCCCAAAGGGCTCCGCCATAGCGCTACAGAGAGTCTTCTTAGGGCCGGAGCAGCTCCCTCCGGAGAAAGCCCCGAGCCCTTCCGACTCCGGTGCGGGGAGGAGCCTCCTCGCGTATCTCGAAAAGTGGCGGCGCAAAGAGCAATGGGTTGGAGGTCGTAGCTTGGGGTCACCGACCGGGAATAAAGTTGCCTTGATCGAGCGTTCGTGAATTTGATCCGTTGCACCATTACTAAAAATTTTTAAAGGGGGGGGTATATGCCCGAGATGAGACGCACAGTTGCAAACGTGACTCCAAATGCTTCGCTACAAGAATAACTTTTTCCTTGCATCCATTCCTAGCAGGTCACTTGTTCGTTCAGTTTTTTCAGGTCGCGTTTCGGTTTGGTTAGATCGTGTGAAAACGGACGAGGCCTTTACAACCGGATAACGTCCTTAAGTAATGGAGACAGTAGTCCACCCTTTCCTTGCCACCTGATAGTTTAATAGTCTATTTTACAAGTGGCTGGATCGCTTGTGTTTTCTTGCTATCAATATCAAATGATATTTCCTTCTTTCAAAATTGTTTTTACTTCTCCTCCCCGCCCCCCTTCAAAAAAAGCATGTTAAACATCAGATTACTGGTGTCAAACTGCATTAAGCGATTTACCCGGTGTGTTCTACTGGATAACTGAATGGACTTCTAAAGGAAGCTTTTTTCTGCAACAACTGATTAGATCGAACCGATCAGTCAGTTAATATTTTTCACCCATAATTTGCTTCGATGTTTACTATTCTGCTAATATGCAGTATAAAAAATGTCAGAGATGCTATTATAGTATATTCATTTATATGCCCTTTGTGAAGTGGCAATAAAGAAATGAGGCGTGTTATGGGAAGATGTTTGTATCTCACAAACACTCTTAAAATACTGGGAGGAAGTGTACTACACTTGGGTGAAGCTGTGTTCATATTTATTTATTTATTTATTTTTAAAAACCCTTGAAATAGAAAATATGTAGTGAAAGAAGTCGTAGTCTGCATCCTATTTAATGCAACTTGGGCTTTAATAGTGCAAATTACGCTTTCACAAAAGTCCCCCTCTTCAGATAATGTATGGCTGGTGTATGACTACCGAGTTCGTGCGCGAATTCAGGCAGAAAAGACACCTTGCCGTGGGAGGGAAATACTCTTTTCAGGCAATGCGATAGACAGCCTGGCCTCGGAAGGGGAGGGAAAGGGGGGAAAGATGGCAGCCTCCTTATGGCTGATCCACCGCTGCAGAGGGACGATCAATCGCTTGCTGGGCAGGAATTTAATGCGAGCGCCCCTCGGTTCCTTGTCCCAGGCGGTGGGTTGCAAATTCCTACATACGACCCCGGAAACCTTGGGTGAGCACCTGACTATTCCCGGGAAAATTGCTGCCTTGGCCGTTTGTTGTTAAACCGGGGGTTCGGCTGGGTGAACCGGTGAAGGCAGCAAGGATGGGGCTGTGCTTCAAGAAACTAGCAAGGAATAGGAACGGGTGCCAAGTAGCCAGGATGAGGAGCTCAGTGCAAAGTTTGTATTACTTTGATTCCGTGGTATAAAGAAGGATCTTGTAAGTGGCTGAGGCGGCTTGAATAAGCTTTAGGCATTCTATTAATGTAGGTCCATTTCTTTCAGTCCCCCGAAGGTTTCCTTTCAGAATCAACGAAGTAATTTTAGAAGTTTGGCTTCCTGATACAACGTAGGCCAAAAGGACAACTATTTTTAATAAGGTTAAATCAGGCATCCCAAGAGCAGGCCGACTGCCTTTTGTGAAATGAAATGTTTATCAATAAGCATATTTTACATTCTCTAGAATATGTCCTCAAAGAGTGAATTGTGCAGGGTAAATGTTAAATATATAGAGAAGCAAAGCATTGCTTCTGCATTTTGCTCCATGTTACATATTAAGGGGAAGATTTGTAAAATAGTGGCTAAGTTCTGGCAGAATGATGAAGGTCAAAATGTGTTTTGATGATGCATTATATTTATAGTACAGCCATATTCCATACTTTCAGCATTCTTCATGCATATATTAGATTTAATAAGGTCACAATATTGTATATTGATTCATATTTAGAATGTTCAGTATAAAATAGATAAAGTGGCAGATAATTAATAGGAAGACTATCTGACTATGATGATTGAGGCTTATTTCCAGATACATTCTAAAGTGAGGATTTAATAGTCTTATATACTTGAGCCAATCTCAGTATGGTATATTACTTTTTAATAAATTGACATACAGATTTCATTTTAAAGTGAACTGTAGGTAGTCCTCAACATACAATCAAATGTTTAACAACAATTTAAAGTTGCAACAGCTTTAAAAATGACTTGCAGGCTTTGTAAAACATAATTCCCTATCACTGTGGTCATATTATGCCTTTTGGGGTAGCTGTCAGCTGGCTCACATTTATAACCAGTACCAAGTGCCTTGCAATCATATGATTGCCATTTGTCAATCAGTCAGTGAGGAAGTTTGCAGGGAAAGTTGGAAGCAGAGGGAATGGGAAGCTACAGATTTTAATCAGTGTGAGTTTCTCATTGATGATAGTATAAGCATTAAATAATAGTATTATTATTATGGATAGTATTAAACATTAAATAAAGGATCAGTGCAAATATCTAAATGATCTGTCCTAATTTGGTTGCAGAGAAAAATGTGTTTTTGGCAATTTTCCATTTTTGCTCCTTAAG